TGCATATAGTAGTAGTAGGTTGGGGAGTGAAACGGACGAATCGACTGATAAGGGCATTGCACATTGACACTGAATTAATTTACTAGCAGTTTCTCCTACTTTGGCTTTAAATCGCTAAATTCGAAATGTGTAATATTTTTGAAAGAAATTTCGCCTAAACACATATGTACATACATATGTACATATATAAATATTTACACCTAGCGGAGAAATATGAAAATTTCAGTTACTTAATTTATGTAGTGCAAAGGTCTACCTAGAAATTTAATGAGTTGTACAGGTAAATTTGTTGTAATCCCCAGAATCCAAAGCAGTTTAATTGTTCACGCCTCCATCAGTTCTCTTCTCGCACCTTGCCATATTGATCTACGGCCTTTGCATATTCTATAATTATATAACCAGATGGACTTTCAGAGTCTGCTTTAATGAAATTGCACTTGAAGTCGCTTTTCGCTTTCCATATTTAAAATAAAAGAAATTTTCCACAATATATTAGGAGACTGTGCAGCATCTCCATCGCCTCCTCATCTTTCGCTTCTTTTGCTTCGCATTCGCGTTGATTGCCCATTCGCACGTCAGCAATTAACAGTTATAGCAACTATTGAGCGCGAATGGAAGAGAGTGGTCTCGAGGGGGAGAGATTCAGAGCAGGCGCTTGACAGGTTGATAAAGACGGGGTTGACTTAAAAGTTTCCGTTGCACAGGAATGGTGGCGCACATGCCCAACACGTGCTCTCCGTCTCCGCGCATAAGTAATTAAGTGCAATTTATGGCCAGAACCCGTGTGCGCGTTCCGTCATTAATTTCCATGCATTGAACCTGTTTCAGCACAGCAGCAGAGGCCGCCCCTGCCCCTGCCACTGCCACTGCCACTGGCCCATTCGCCCACAGACAAGTGCATTTTTATTGCCAACAATTTGTGTTCTGCATCTCTCTCTCTGCCACCCTCTCACTCTCGCTGTCTCTCTCTTGGACTCCACCTAGTTCCCAGCCTCAGGGTGTGTTGGAGAGGTGATCACTCGACAGGCGCATGCATGGTCTGCCGCCAGCAACAAAAACTTTAACAAGTTCTAACCATTTATAGGTGAGGAGAGAGAGAGAGAAAACAAATGGGAATGGGGGAAGCTGTTATGCACAGATATGTCATTCTTTCCATCTGTCTGTCTGTCTGTCTATTCATTTCGTTAACATTGTAGATCGCGTCGCAGGCAGAAAGATTAGCAGGAAGGCATCTATTCCGCTCTCTATCGTAAATATTCGAATTATATTTCTCTCTTACATCATACTAGAGATCGACCATTCTCACGCTATACTCTCTCCCAGCACGTGTGCTCCCATTAATCAATTAATATGCATAATTAACTTTTCTATTTGATTGGCAAAACGTTTGCGGCACATGCACATTGCAAGAGCGACTTTGTTCAGCCTCTCTCTGTCGCACGGTCGGTCAACAGAAGCTTGTGCTGAGTTCAAGGTACAAAGTCCAAAACGGCGGCTCGTCGCTGAACTGACGTCACAAGCCACCACCACCGTCGGGGAGTTTTTTCATTACAGTTTCAACTGGGGGCTGGCAGCAACAAACACTTCTGCGATCAAACAGCAAAGAGCAATGACAATTATAACAGCAACAAAATGCAAAGAGCAAACAACACAAACAGACAAGCATCGAGAGCAACATCACAACAAAACCACTCACGAGGCGAGTGCCAGTCCAAAGTCCAAACGGCATTTCGAAGACTTGGGTCCAAAGTCCACTGCAAGCGACACTGGTCGGGTTTTCTGATGCCAGCCGCCACCGAAGCTGCCAGCCAGCATGCTAGTCATCGCCATAGCCCCCCTCTTCGGCTGCCCCTCCCACGGCTTCATCAAAACATGTGGACCACCATCCCCCCCTCCTGCCATGACTTGTCTTTCGTTTACAACAAAAAATTGTTTGAGCAAAGAGCAAACAGCAATTCGATTCGAAGCTCTTTTGTTTTTCTGTCTCGTCTCCCCACTTTTTTCTTGGCGCTCGTTTTGTTTACCTTAGTCAGAGCTCTCTCTCTCTCGCTGTCTCTTAATCTGTCTGGCTCTCTTAAGAAGCTCGATTTTAAGTGAAGTAACAGTTGGTGTACAGATGTTACATTCTGTTTTGTGTAATTTTACACGATTCTACCTGATTTTACTACCTGCCCAAATTATAGGCCATAACAGCAAATAATCTGTTGCAGGGGTATATTGGTATTACGAAAGACATTAAGTCGTATAATGAGAGGAGTGGCGAGGGCTGGGACGGTACTAAACTTTTGCCATCTGCCTATTTTCTTGGTGGTGCCCGCCCGCCCGCTTTTGCCTTAGTGGGAATTACGAAAGTTTCGGTTATGTCAAGCTTCGCTGCCCGGCTTAATTCGCCTTTGTTGTTATTTGCAGTTGGCTTTAGAAAATACAAAACAAATTTGTTCACGATTCGTGCTCGAATTCGAGTTGAGTTGAGTTGAGTTGGTTTTGCATTTGTGTTTCATTTAATTTTAGCGAAATAATCCACAAAAATGGACTTTGCACTTGACAGCAGCAGAGCAGAGCAGTGACAGCGGCAGCGGCAGAGACAGTGACAGCGCTGCTCTTTTGTATTTTTGCGGTGAATATGTACACGAAAATACACATGGTATATTTCTGCAAGGTGAACCATTCCCAGAGATCTCTCATACAATACATCAGAGACAAAGTGAACAAGAGGCAACTTAAGGGGGCGAATGCCCCCACCCCACCCTGCACAAATAAACCATGAAATGTTCGAGCTGCCGCTCCTCCTCCACCAACTGTTGCCACGTTTTGCTCTCAACAAAAAATAATTCAAAATAAAGCAAAAAATATTCCCATGGGGCAGAACTTGTTTGAATATGTTTCCTAATTGGAATGAAATGTTCCAACCATTTGCGTGCTATTCAAGCTCTGGGGGTTTCATTTCAAGTCGCTATCGAAGCGGTGCAGAAACGAAGGAATGGGGGGAAATACATTGATGTATTTGATTATTTTCGGTATTTCATATTTGCTTACAATTGATTGTATAAATAAATCGGAATATTGTTGATTTTGCAACTCAATTTAAGAGTTTAATAAATACCAGATGTGGCAAGCACTTGTATAGGAAAATGGCGCCGAACTGTCTTCCAAATAACCCCAAACTAATTTTATTCCCAGCAAAAGCTCAAGTCATTGCATTTCTCATTAAACTGAAACCCAATTTCGCCACGACATTCTATCCAAATGAATGCACTCATGAGTCCACTCGCGCAGCAGGCAAAACCACTCGAAGCAGGAAAATCCACTCATGGCAAACGTTTCTGGACTAATTAAGACGCCGAAATGTCGTCGACAGCTTGCGGTTTTCCAAGCGGGAAGGGGGGTTTTGGTAACGTTGTTGGTGGTTTTGGTGGTGGCCCCCACCGGATGAGCTTCCAATTCCAAGCCGAACGCAATTAATTAATCAAGTACATGGATCAATTTACATGCCACTACCACCAGCAAATAGGGGGAGTAGGAGAGGTGTGGCAACTTGGTAACGGTTGTTAGGCAGTGTGCAGCGGCGACAAGAGACAACTCTCGAGATGTTCATCTTCAATCGAGGCAGCTGTGGCTGTGCCGGATGTTATTGGAGGATTTTGGGGTGGGGCCCATTCTACAACAGAGGATAGTATTGGATGGAATTGAGAGATTGGTAGTGTCTGTGAGCGCCTCAAATGAAACCCCCTAAGACTCTTAGCAACGTAATTGCTGACATGTAATGCCCCCGCAATAAACTTTTGGGAAACATTGCCAGATATAAATCTGTCGAGACTTTAATGACTCGAATTAATTTCTGTTATATTTCCATCATTGTATTAATTAAGTGAAAAATGTGGATGCAATGTGGAACGCCAAACAGTATGCAATTAAATAAATGGAAATTCATGAAATTCCCTGCTATATTCAATTAAAAAAATATTAAATAGCTAATAAACCGAAGCATTTCATCTCGCTACCTCCAGACCGGGGTAAAAGCCCTCATTCATTCATTCTCTCATGCATAATTTTTATTCCTGCGGTTTTTCCCCTAATGAAAATTGAGGAGCAGCAGAGGGCAAGTAATTGTGCGAACGCGTTGATGCGTGAGCAACTTGTTGCCTTGACTGCCACAGATACAGATACATACATACATACATATACATGTATTTATGTTTGTATAGGTATCTGCCTCATTATTCAAAGTGCTGCTGGAGAGGTGAGGGAGGGGGAGGCAGAGTACAAGTAGCTGAAGGTGTCCTGCTCCTGCGAGAGAGCGGACCAAAAAATTCACATTTTTCTCGTATTTTGTTTTTGGCATTCCGGAATTTCATTTTGGGAAGAGGCGCGTCAATGCAACTGCGTGGGTGTGGGGGTGGGGGTTGGGCGTTGGGGACTATAACCAACCGACAACATCCGCATCATCATCCTCACAAACAACATCCTTATGGCGTATGGCTGCCTGGCTGCTGTTCCAGCCATTCCAAATGATGACACGCTCGTTGCATAAGCAAATATTTCAAGAGACGCCTCCCAGTCCCCGTCGCAGTCTCCCCATTTGGAAATTCAACCGCAACAGCACTCCTCCACCAGTCCTTCACTCCACCACTCCTACACTTGTTGTTGTTGTTGTTGTTGTTGATGCCACCAATGTTCCTGCTGCTGTCATGGCAGCCTGACAGGCCTCGCGACTGACAGGACATGCTTTGGCTGATGCTGATGCTGCCACTGCTGCTTGGAGCCGTATGCCGTTGACAGATTCCGCCAGCTTGAATTGATAAGCCGCTGATCCAGAATAGATTGGAACGCGGCCCTCCCCACCCTGCCCCTGAAGCTGACGCCTCTTCAACTAAGCTTTAACTTTAATTACCACTTAGCCTTGAAAAGAAATATATACATATGTATAGTGCCCCTCCTATGTCCCATCTCCAACTACAATCCACTAACCAACGCTCTTCTCTGCTTGTTCCCATTCTCAGGTTTGTCGCGCCCTGAACATCATCTGTGAGATGGAATACTTTGGCCTGGAACACTGGACGCCCAATCAGAAGGAGACGCAGACGCGTCAGTGGATCAATCTGAGGAATCGGCTGTCCTGCGACAGCGGCAGCAGCGGCAGTGGCATCCAACTGATGCTGGCCCTGCGCGTCAAGTTCTGGGTGCCCGTGCACTTTATCCTGCAGGAGAGTGTGCGCAATCTGTTCTACATGCAGGCACGCCGAGACCTGGTGGAGGGGCGGCTCTCGGCCAGCGATTGGAGCAATGCGGCCAAGCTGGCGGCGCTGCTCTGCCAGGCCGATGGCCTGCGCTTCAATGAGGCGGCCCTGAGGGCCGATTGCCCCATGAGGATGCGACGGGAGTTGGCCCAACAGCAGTTGCAGCAGCAGCAGGCACAGCAGCAGCGGCTGGAGCAGCAACGCAAGGAGAAGGAGCATGTGCTGAGCTTCAAGAAGCGGCGCCTGTCCAAGCAAAAGTCCATGGAGCATATCGAGAACTGTGCCCTGCCCCTGGCCGCGACCAGCTGCAGCCTTCAGCCATCGCCCTCCACCTCCGCCACCACATCCCACACCTGCTCCCACACCCACTCCAACTCCAGCTCGACCAGCCCCAGCAACAGCAGCAGCCAAACGGGACTGGACGAGCGCCTGGCCAGCAATCCGCTGCGCATGTACGAGGAGTACGTGTTCCTGCCCAGCCCCGAGAGCGATGCGGATGCCTCCGTGCCAGAGCCACCGTCGGACTACCTCAGACAGATCGCCACCGAGCACGGCAAGCTGGCCAAGCTGCAGATGAGCCCCAAGTCGGCCAAGTACTGGCTGCTGCAGTCCATTCAGGACCTGCCCGGCTATGGCGAGGAGCTCTTCAGCGGCGTCACCACCAACGAGAGCGCCACCCGCTGCGACATTGCCGTGGGCGCTCACGGCATCACCGTCTGCCGTGGGGGTGAGAAGCAAAGGTGAGTCTCGCCGGCTAATCCCCGCCAAAAGGAACCCCAAAACTAACTAACCCCCTCCCTTATGCCACCCCTTAGCATCCCCTTTGGCGCGATTGCAGCCGCCAAGTCGCTGAGGCGCACCTTCAAGCTGGAGTATGTGGACGATCACAACGATCGCAAGGAGCTCGAAATCAAGCTGCCCAAGCAGCCCATTGCCGCCGGCCTCTACCGCTCCATTACGGAGCGTCACGCCTTCTATGTGTGCGACAAGGTGCGGGGCGTTGTGACCAATCAGTTTACCAGGGATCTCAAGGGCACCATTGCCTCCATGTTCAAGGAGGACACGGAGCTGGGCAAGCGTTATGTGTTCGACATTCAGCACACATGCCGCGAGGTGCACGATCAGGCCCGACGGATTCTGCATGAGCGTGGCGGTGATGCGGCTGTCCTGGCTGAGGCTGATGGTGCTGTTGCTGTCGCTGCTGCTGCTGCTGCTGCTGGTGGTGTCTCCTCCGATGCATTTGGCGCTGGGGCGGGCCCCAGTTCTGGTGCTGGTGGCGGCTCCATGGCCGGCAAGATAGATTTGGCCATACGCGAGAAGGAGGCGCGTGAGGCGGCGATTGAGCGCTGCGTGGACACGCGCATATCCGAGGCCATGCAATGCAAGATCTGCATGGATCGCGCCATCAACACAGTGTTCAATCCGTGCTGTCACGTGATTGCCTGTGCCCAGTGTGCCGCCAGGTTAGTACTCACACACACACCTGCTAGAATTGTTTACTAATCACCCGCCCATCCTCGTTACAGGTGCATCAACTGTCCGAATTGCCGGGTTAAGATCACCAGCGTGGTCAAAATCTATCTGCCTCCGGAGCTGCGCACCAGCCAGTCGGAGAGCGGCAGTGGCGGTGGCGGTGGCGGTGGCAGCAGCAGCAGCACCACCACCACCACCACCAGCCACATCCAAAGCGATGGCCCCAACGACGCTGAGTTGCAGCTGGACGAGATCTCCACGGCGGCAGTAACAGCCGGAGAAGTAGCTGGGGCATCAGAAGCTGCGTCTGTGGCAAGCGCAGCCGAGCCTGGTGGCGGCCAGGCCAAGGTGACGACGGCCGCCTAGAATTGGTTGTGCTCGCTGCTGTTCCGGCTGATGGAATGGGTGTGCGTGCCGATTGTCTGAGAATCATCCGATAACCATCCACTAAGACCATAATCTAGAGGGAACAACAAATCAAAATCAAAACAAAAATCAAAAAACCAAAAAACCGAATCAAGAAACCGAAGGGAATGTGGGGAGGGTAGAACAGAGAACAGAGAAGAGAGGAGAACTCTGTGAAACAATCTTAGCTATATCTTTACTCAAGTATTCTATGGACATAAGCAACTGGAAGCCGTAACTCTAACGTAACTCTAACTGTAGCTAGCTTTAGATACTCGTACGATCGATCTGTATACCTGTTTAGCTGTAGACTCAATGAGAAAGTGCTATTTAAACTCGTCTAAGACTTCAAATGCCTAGCCCTATGCCTAGTATCTATATATACATATAATTGCAGATTGTTTCATATACACCCTATGCTATAAACTATATACTAAACTATACTACGATCGTTATAGATCAGCGATATAGATACCTTTTACGACATCAAAATGATGATGATATTATGATATATGATATATGTATAATCCATATGAATGTACAACCTAGCGACTACTTACATCGGTTACTTACTAAATGTTAGCTAATTTTACCAACTAAACTCGAGATGTATTTACTAATGCTTAGACATTTTAGTATTTCCAAACCAAACCAAACCAAACCCAAACCCAACCCCTCTACCTTACACCACCACCACCACCACCCCCAAAACACCCTTAATGAAGCCCAATTCTCATGCATACATAATATACGTATGTAGGGGCATATTCTGTGTGTTGTGTTGTGTGTATGTGTTATGTGTATATAGGACAAGCGTACAATAATCGCAAATCTAAGGAGCAAAACTAGTACTAAGTACCTGCAAAACAAAAAACAAAAAACCTGCATCTAAACGGAATCAAAATACGAAAACAAAAGATATATCTCCGCAACAGATATTACCATAGTCAATAATAATAAATGTTAACAATGTTATACCCATGAAAACAAAAAACAAAACAAACTATAAATTTATGTTTTATTTTTATTTGAAGCTATTTTTAATACTCTTCTTTCTCCACTGTGAACTGAATTTGAAATTTATAATTTTGGTTTTTTTGGTTCTTCTGTTTCCCTTCCGTTTCAATCTTTTCTTCTTCTCAATCATTTTCTTTTGCTACTCCGTACTCCAAACTGAAATATGAAATAGAATAAAGTGTATTTTCCATATATAAATATCGCCAAAATCCTCCTCATGTACTCTCCAACCACACCTCATCGAACTCTCCTCACATTATCGTGTTGTTGGTCAATTTTGGAGTTTCCTTTGTGGATGCAGCAGCGGCTTCTTTTGGTGTTTCAGAAGCAGTCAACCCTGAGATGGGGGCAGGATTAGTTGATTATGTAGAAGGATAATTGAGGCACTACCCACAGATATGTTCAATCAAAACGCGCATCAGACGAATGTAGCTTAATTTGGGAGACAGACTGCTGACATTGTCAGCAGTGACCTTGTTGATTGTCTTGTTGGGTTCATAGGTAACGACGGGCTGTATCATGTCAACAACAAAAAGGGGAGGCAGGGACACTTGCTGGGGCTTGTTGTTATTGGGCAGCATTTCCTTCTGCAGTTTCTCTTCAATATTTTGCTGAATACGCTTGAGGTAGGTCTTCAGCGGATGCTTGAGGGGATGGATGTGGACGATGTGCGTAGGTTTCGGCTCATCCATTAATTGTGAATTGTTCAGCATGGAATTAGTTTCATTGATCTTGTGCGAGCTCCCATCCGGGGTATTTATTTTCTCCAAGGGCTGAAAGTCCTTCAAATAACCCATGAAATCTTCAAGCGGACTTGTGAATGCCAGTCCTGCAATGAAACAGAGGTTGATTTAATTCCATTTCTGCAATTACATTACTTACCCATAAGGATGGGGACAAAAACCACAATATATAGTCTCATTTTTGGGATTATTTGGGTGTGTTGTAAGCAATAATAATATTTCGTTTGAATTCAAGGTTCAAAAAGTGAAACTATTTTCATGGATGTGGCTACGCTGTTTCTAGAGCTGGGAAAATATCGATAGGTTTCAACAAAACATGAATACAAAAATCATGTTGCTGGCAAATTTCAGCAACATGGGGATATGAATAGTCAGCACTGTTCTGCAACTTTGGCATGGAATGAGCAACAAGTCTGAATACCTTGGGAAAATGGATATTATAGAATAGAGATATTGTTTGTAATTTCAGGCTCCAATTAATGCAGAAACTACCCAGTCTCTGTTTTAAAGATATTAACGAAATTTTTCAGCCCGCGGATACCAATAATAGGTATCAGAACCGGGATAAATGTATTTATAAAACACAAAACATATGCATTAATAGGTACAAAGCATGTCAATCTAGGATCAAATCATTAATAATGTTTCAAAGCAGCTTGAAACAATAAACTTAACATCAATTTAATGAAATAAGGTATAACAAAGTCCATACGCATAGAAGAAACTTGGTTGACCAGCAACACTGACGAAACATTTAGTCAACATTTAATTAATTTTTTTGTTATTTACTGGTTACTGGTTCTCGGTTTCTGAGGTCACTCGACAAAACAATTCAAGTTATTTTTCCAAATATTAAGACACATTTCAAATTGACCGCCAAACTCAATTTAGCGCACCAAAAATACTGACATTTTTCGCCCTCAATTCGTGGAGAGTGCTCTCTTTTCACTGGAGAATAGAGTGTTTTTGTGGAGACTTTCCCGTCATTTTCGTGGGGTGGCAGCATGTTGCTGAAATTTTTCCCATACAAAATCAAATGTATCTTACGGGAACGCGTATGGAATAAAGATTCATTGTTGCGTCATTCCATACGCGTTCCCGTATGATACATTTGATTTGTATGGGAAAAATTTCAGCAACATGGGGAAATGAAGTAGCAGCATTGTTGTGCAACTTTGGCACGGAATGAGCAACAATCTGCATACCTTGGGAAAATGGATATTATGGACTTGAGATATTGTTTGTAATTTCAGGCTCCAAGTAATGCAGAAACTACTCAGTCTCTTATTAAAAGACATCAACGAAATTTTGTAGCTCATGGGTACCAATAATAGGTATCAGAACCGGGATAAATGTATATATAAAACACAAAACATATGCATAGATAGGTAAAAAATAACTCAATCTTACGAAAATGCAATATTAATGTTTCAAAGCAGCCTGAGACAACAAATTTAACATCAATTAAAGGAAATAAGGTATACCAAAGTCCATACGCATAGAAGAAACTTGGTTGACCAGCAACAATGACGTTACATTTAGTCAACATTTAAGTTTTATGCTTTGGCCGTTTTTGTTTGAACCTTATTATGTAAACAATCCAATAAAAAAGAGTTCTGAAAACTAGCCGATCCTGAACAAAATTTATGTATCTATCGGATCAAATTATTTGTTTAAGGCTGAGAGGGCCAACTATCTAGTAATATTAAACTGAATATCAAAATTGACGAATTTTATATCACAAAATATCATGGTATGGCAGCCCGCATCAACTACGCATTGCACGAGTCTGGCAGCGCCACAAAAACGACGTCACATTCGTTTTATGTTGTTTTTGTTTGAACCTTAATATGTAAATAATCCAATAAAAGAGACTTCTGAAAACTTGCCAATCTTGCAGAAAATTTATATATCTATCGGATAAAATTATTTGTTTAGGGCTGAGAGGGCCAACTAGCTAGTAATATTAAACGGAATATCAAAACCATGAAATACGATTTCAATTAATAAAATAGAACGTTAGCCCATTGTCGACCAGGGGGGTATCTAATATTTCCATGAAATTTATGTAACTTTACCATATTTTACGCATTACAGGTGAAAGATATCGTGGTTATATTTTTCCTGTATGTAAAGAGGAAGGATTGATCTACAAAGAGCCTTTACAAACAGTACCATTTTCCGCGGTTTAACAAAGGGTGCTCAACTTTTTAAATAGAGGGGTGTTAAGTGGGTTAACTCTCTTTTTTCTTCGGTATATTTACAGTATATATTAAAAACTGTATATTTGGGTATATTTTTGAGGGTCAGATGGGTATATTTGGTCGACAAATCCGCGGTCACACTGCCGGTGGTTTCTCCGCTGAACCTGCTGTAATTTTTACCTTAAATTGTACGTAAATAAATGCGCTAGGCGGCTAAAACACGCGGGTGATTGTGCCAATTAATAAAATAAACAAATACACTTGCGAAACACTCGCGAGTTACAGCCAAACGGCAGCAAACAGCAGCAGCAGCGCGCCAGCAGCGCAGCAACAAGCGTAGGCAAAAAGCAAACAATTGGATAAGCGCTCGCCGCAGCAGCAGCAGCAGGAGAAGAAAGAGAGAGGAAGGTGTTGGTGCACGCTGTTTAAGGCTGATAGATACTCTTTAAGCATTTAAACCTTGGCCAAAAGCTCAACATTATTACGTACAAATATTGTTCTTGTTGTGGCTGCCTGCCTGTCGACGTGGGGGCAGAGCAGCACCAGTTGCAGCACCAGCAGCAGCAGCGTGTGATCGAGATTCTCGTCGGTTGTCTCGGTTGTCGTTTTCGTCGCCGGTGAAATGGTGTCGACTGTCGTTGCCCTCGCCGTAGCCGTCGCTGTCGCTGTAGCCGTCACCGTCACTGGCTCTGCCACTGCCACTGCCCCTGCCTCTGTCTTCGTTTCTGGTGCAGAGACCACCGCAGTGACCATGAAGCGAAAAATGTTGTTCTGAATTCTGCCAATGTTGAGAAAAAGTGAGAAATAAAATTGTACAAATGCACACATAGGCATGAAAAGAACAGAAAAAGCAATAATAATTCATAAAAGTTTTGATACGCGTAATTTCATTAAATAAAACCCCCTTTCAAAACAGCTGATAATACCAATCCATTCGAATAATACAACCATATTCCATTTGTGCCCTTTAAAGCTTCAAAAGCAACAACAAAGTATGTGAGAAAGAGGTGCGAAAGAGCCCGAAGAGAGTGTGAAAAGAAAGTCAAGAAAGTGCCTGCACCCAAATGTGCTCTCAGTAAAGTTAAATCCCCCATTGAGTCTTCCTGCCCGTTCCTGCCCAGGCCTGGCCCAGCTGCTAAGCGCCAAATGCTCCAACGGCTTTAATTCCCCCCAAAGCCCGTCTCCCACGTGGTTCACCCCAGATATTAACTCTCCTTGGGCTTCCTCAGTGAGCGCACACATGACTGGGATTAGCAGCGGATAGCGACCGGAATAACCCAAACCCAAACCCAAAAAACAGGTCAGTACGTACATATGTATATCGTATCGGAACAATCATTTAAATAACGTTCCTTCAATTGCTCGTTTTCGCCTTGAATCGGTTGAAACCGGTTGCTTGTCGTTTTTCGTTCGTCCAGACGCCAGACAAATTGAAAATTCAATTAATTTAAATCAATCAAAGTTTGGGGTCCATTCGGTTTCGATTCCGAACCCCAAACTACATAAGTATTTCGTAATACCCGTAGTGCAATTAAATATTGCACAAGTATGAGATTTTGCCTGCCCAATGGGGGAAAAATTGCAATTGTTTATGGCCTGTGTCTCTGGGGGCTAATGGGTGTAAAATTGTGCCCCGAAAAGCGTTGTTGTGCATCAGGGAGCTAGCCACCCCATTCGTTGTGGCTGGGAATTAGTCAATTGCAATGCCAATTGTTTTGCTGCGGATTGGAAACAATTGCAGGAATTTGTTGTGGGATGATGGGGGTATTTTTGTTTGTTTATGTAGACAACCGTTTGCCTCTTTTTTTTATAAACTTAACTGATTATTTTTAGTAATTTATTGGGGGTTGTGGGATCCCATATCTTACTCTCCATCTGTCATCTGTCATGGACTTTCAGTATATATTATGGTTATCTTTATATCAGATTAACTAAAACAATATAATAATTTGATTGATCAGAAATACATTTTTGATTAAATTGATTAAATGAAATAAAACCCAATCTCCATTAAAACGGTTATTTAATATGGCGGCAAAGCAGAACCAATGTGAAAAAGAGGAGAAAAAATTAATAAAAATGATGATTTACACAATAATTAAATGTCAATTCATTGCATCGACGTATCACGGGTTCTTCCGTAGCTTTGGGCTTGAAACCTTTGGCAGCGACAACGGTTATTAATTTACCATTTTTATTTGTTTTTGTTTTATTCGTTTTCCATTGGCGGAGCCCCCAGCAGCTCGAACCTGAATCTGCACAGGGCCCCTCTGTAGTCCATGCTGTAGCCCTTTTTCGCTGTCCTGTCCTGGCTCCCAGTCCTGGCCAGGTTTTTGGTGGCCTCTTAATGGAAAAAATGTTGTGCGGTCTTTTGCTTTTGTTTCTCCAATTTTATACACTTGCAATGGAAGGGTACGACTATTTTGGTCAGACGTTTGCAATGTCCATAGTCTTTGGATACGTCTTGGTAATTTATTTATATTAATAATGGTATCTTATATGTATGTAAATTTATCTACCTAAACCGATTTAAAAGATTTCTAAAGATGTCCTGTACTGAGCTGTCATAAAATAGATTCGACTGGAAGGGTATCTAAGGCTTCGACTTCCTATTTTCTGTTCCCTTTTGCCGATGGTTGCGATGGCGGAGGCAGAAGCAGGGACGACGTCCTGCCATAAAATTGCATGTCCAAATTGTTGTATTGGTGTGCGTGTGTGCGTTATACTTCAGTGTGTGCGTTGTATGTGTGACTGTGCGTTTTTGCTGTTTCTTTTTTTTATATTTTTGTGCGAGAGTTTATTGCGCGGAATGCTATTTAATAAATTCCATTTTATGCTCTCTCTTTCTCTCCCCCTGGGTCCCCTCCCTCCTTTTCCTCATCACCCCTAGGCACGGCGCTTGCCTTGCCGTCATTTTGGTTGTTGTTGTCGGTCGGGGCAGGATTTATCTCTTTCATGTCGCTATTGTTGGTTCTGTCTCTCTCATTCTTGTATCCTTTTGGTTTTGGCCAATGCAAATTTTAAAATTCAATTTCGCTCGTAACTTCAATTGCAACAAAAGAGAAAATACGTATGAAAAATACGAATATTCGCAGTTATTTCCACATCCTCTGCTCTTTTCCTTGCTATCTGCCATTTTTCATATTTCATTTTTAGATTTATTATTAAATTTTTCCTCCATTTTTGTTCCGCTGGAAGTTGGCAAAAACTTGCCAAAAACTCAACATGGCTTCGGTGTCTCCCCGCAGCGTTTAGTTTTTTCAGCATCCCAACCCCCAGTAAAAATAAAAATGGAAACTGGCACAAGAAAAATACGAGGGAAAACTCTGTAAATTCTGAAAATCAACGAACAATGAAGACAGCAAAACTTAAGCACCTTAACTCACTCTTCAGGCTCCTCGGATATAACTAAAAAGTAAGAGAACAGAAAGAAGCCCAAAAAAAAAAAAAGAGAGTTGAGAGTTGAAGAGAGTCTCAACAACGAGATACCTGGTACATAGCACTACTATTGTGGATAGTAATATTGGGGCACACTGCAAGTGGTACTGGGGTGTGAGATTCGACAGAAATAGAGAATGAATGTGTGTTCTTATTCATGCTTTAAACAATATCTGAACTAAATGATTATCGCTAGATTAAAGCTCATATACAGATAATATACAGTAAATAAATACTAACATATACATATGTACATACATTCATACTTTTACACTTTATAGGATCAGGCATATACCCTGATATACCCTTGCATTCAGCGAATACTGGGTAAAAAAAACCATAATCGAGATAGGAAGGAGAGTGGGAAGGGAGGGTGAGAATGGGTGAATGGGAATTCCCAACTGCGCTAAAAACTTTCTTTCTTGTCCTGCAACTTGTTCAATGCCTTTCTCTGCTCCCCGCACTCTGCGTGATGGCAACTTCCGTTATATGTATGTTCGCCTTCAACTGTAACGGCAAAGAATAACAAAAACAAAGTCAAGAACATCAGAGATAAACTTGAGGGAGAGAGAAATATAGAAGAGAGAGTGAAAGGGAGAGCGAGAGAAGTTCAATTGTTAAAGTTAAAAATTTCATAAAAAAAGTTTAGACTAAAAGGAAGAGCGGGTGAAAACTTAAAAAAATGCTGCACTGGGTTTTCTATTTCACTTTTTTTTTTCACTGGCATGGCACTTCCATCCTTTCCTATTCTACCCCTGATGCACAAGTTAGTCCTTCTAAAAAGAGAGGGAAAAAACAACAAAATATGCTAACAAAAACAAGGACACGAGGGCCATAAAAATGTTCTTATGTGAAGCAAGCAAAAAAAGAAACAACAACAAGAATTGTCGCTGTATTGAGTAATAAGAATATAGGGATACCCCTTAAAGTTATTTTTAGCTTTCTGGTGATAATATGCCACAGCCAAATCTCTCTTAATGGATAGTTTACGTGTATGGAATACCTGTCAGGGCAATAAATATTTTCAGGCCATAATCGATAAAACTTATGTAAGTAGATAAAAGATTTCATTAATTAATTCAAGAAGGGATTAATTATGCATTGCTGCCTTAAATATTTATTAACTTTTTCACTAGTGTTACATGTCTGATACTAACGCAACATACCCTTAAATGTTAAATTAACGGGTATACAAAATTTTAAAAACAACTGCAGGACGAACGAGTGCAGTAGAAGGTGGAGGCGGGCACAACAAAAGCAACAATGTTTAAGTGCAGGTTGAGGCAAAATTTGTAGAGCACACATACACACACACGCACACGCACGAACACACACAGAAACAACTGAAAAACAACTCTTAAAAGCTTGCACAAGAAAACATAAAAAATAATAAAGTGAAATAAAAGCTACGAGCGCAGGCTGCAGGCTCCCACTCCATCTATGAAGTTCTGGAGCCCGGCCAGCAGCAGCCGGCGCAAGAAACAAAAACCATTCAGCAGAAAATCAATGAAAATGTGCATTCATAAAAAATAATTGAAATATGAAAAACATCCTATTTGTTTGCTTGTTTTATCAAATAAAACTTTACAACTTTATTATGTTGCTGTATATGTTAAAGAAATTGTTTTGTATAAATAATAGTAATTTTAATTAGTCACTGCAAATATTTTTATTGGTTAACTCCATTGGAAAATGTAATAATAATAATAATAAATCTGAGCCGGGAACAAAGCTTTAGAAACACTTTTGCTTTTTCGAAATGTTTTCCCCGTGTATTACGTAGTTATACTTTAACTTTAGTTTATGTGTTGTAATTATGTACAAATAATTTGGCACTGAATGATTGGCGTCGATTGTCGAGGCTTGGTTCTCTCCTCTCCTTTACTAAGATTGAACATACCCTCTGAAAGTGTATGCATTCCCCTTGTTGCTTAATCAATTGTTGATTTCATCATTTTTCGAGTGCGCTAAGCGAGGACAGCACCGAATTGTTTAGCAAATGTTGCGGTGGACCTGCTTTGGCGTATACTTGATAAAGCAAATTAGCAGCATTTCGATTTGGTACGGCGTATAAACAAATAATCTATATATACTATATTTAGCCCCACATTAAGCCGGATTATTCTGGATAGTCCAAGTGTTAGATGTATGCAAAAAAGACTTCCAAAAGATTCGCCCGCCCATCTGATTGCATATGTATCTCGTATAATCACGAGTATTTCTGGGGCTTTCCTCTCCTCCGCATTTTCATTTGCCGTTTCGCTTGTTATCAACTTTTCGAGTGTTTCCTTTCAGAGACACAGACTTGCGTCACATGTCGCTGAAACTGTAATACATATTAATGAAAACAAATGCGCAAAAAAAAAAGAAATAAAAAACAAGCCACGCTGCTGCCACTCAAATAAATACATCGACTCAGAGACAAGAAGCAACGTCCGACAAATCGTCGAATCACTTTAGCATGCAAATATTTCTTGCTTATTTTAGCTTTTTTTTATTTTTATTTATATTTTTTTTTTTTTTTGCGTTTTACTTCCCACATGGGATGCTGGGATCTGAGATCAGGGATCACGATCGCCGAGTGTTGTGGGTTATCGCGGTCTGGCGATTAAATAGGTTATCGCCGTTGGCAATCGTTCGATTAACGAGCATCGAATTTTCTGTTATTCTCTGGCATGCTTTTAGCGGCATTACAGCTGTACAATTGCAGAGAGAGAGAGAGGAAGGGGGAAGGATAAACCCATTTCATATCATATCATATCGATTTTTCCTAGTTCGTAACTTCTAACCGAACTCATCCTTTTCTTTGCTCTCATTGCAGCTGAATATATTATGGAAAAAGCGAAAGCGTATATCAAAAATGAACTTCGTGGTGGCATCCAGCCACAGCAGCCACAGCATCCACAGCAGCAGCCCCTCCAATCCGAGCCAGCAACGACGCCCACACCCCCATCGCCCTCTCCGGCCTCGTCCAAGCAGCAGCAGCAGCAGCTGTATCCACCCTGCGAGCTGATGCCCTCTCCAGGAGCAGCCGCAGCAGCGGCTCACCGATCACGGACACCCAGCGACCTTTACCACCACCATGCCATGTCCCTTGGCTATGCGATGCATCCATTGCAGCAGCAGCAGCAGCAGCACTATTATCCGGCCCATACGGGGGTCAAGTCCACGGGTCGGGCATCGGCGCCACCTGATCACCACATGGCCGTATCCGTGTGCTTTGTCTGTGGCTGCCACGGGGGCTACGAGATGCAGCCCCTTCGGGTGCGCCAGAATGCGGAGCGGCCAAGCGAGTCGTTCTTCCCCTTTCTGGAGCGGCACGAGCCGCCCAACGGTATGGCCAGTTTAACGGCCAGCCAGGAGTACGTGTGGGCCTGCCTACTCTGCTTCCGCTCCCTGAACGAGCAGTGGGACGCGTACGAGCGCCACAAGAAGCCCCTGCTGCAGCGCATCTACCACATGAAGCGGATGGACGGCAAGGGCTACATCGGAGCGGATGTGGCCACCCAAAGCGAGTACGCGGCCCAAGTGCTAGGCCTCAGTACGGACCATCTCGGCCAGAACGGGCTGGCGGATCTGCATGGCATGGATCCCTATGCGCTGGCCCGCCACTATTCCCCGCACCAGCCATCGGGAACGGCCACGCCGACACCTCATCACCTTAGTACCTCAAGGAATGCCTCACCCTCGCCCATACCCAGTGGTGCGGGGGCTGGTGACTACTATCCACGGAATGCCACCACACCCACAAGCAACCACAACAGCAACAGCAACAACAAATACCTGAGTCGGCCCCAATCGCGGGACATGCCAGTGGCCTCGCCCTCCTCGCGACCGCCCAGCGAACCGCCGGCCCCAAAAAGCAGCACCTCCAACTATTCCCAGCATAAATACAAGCCGGGCAGCGCTACTGGAGCGACAGCATCGCCGTATTCGGGACAGCCGACGAGCTACCATCCCGCCCAGTACCAGCAGCTGCAGCAGCAGACGGCGGCCTACCACCTGCTGCAGCAGGCAGCCGCCGGAGGAGGGCCTGAGCATCCGGCACACTACAAGGGCAATCCCTACAGTGCAATGCCCTCGCCAGGCAGTGCCCAGCTGGGACCGCCACCGACAGCCGGCCTGGAGGATGACAACGCCACTGTGCTGGACCTGCGCCACGGGAGCGCCAGCGTGAGTGCCACGGCTGCGCCAAGGAACACCACCGCCTCGGCAGCCGAAACGACCAGTCAACCCACAGCGGAGGTGGGCATACTGGACCTGTCCATGCCCGACAAGAACTCCATCACGGAGGTGTGCTACGTGTGCGGGGATGAGCAGCGTCGCGGCAGCCTCATCGAGCTGAGTACGGTGAAGTCCAAGGAGTCGCGTCTCGGCCAGTCCGCGGCCTACTTTCCGCTCTTCAACGAGCAGCATCCACGTCCGGCCCGCTCCCGTCCCAAGGATCCCCGGGGCATGATACAGGCCTGTTTGCCCTGCTACGAAGACCTCATGCAGCAATGGAACACACAGCAGGTCAGTAAACAATTCACGTATTTTATTTATTTATTTATTTCATTGAAAAATTTTCCAAGGATTTGTTTCTCTCATTCGAATATTTCCATATGGAGCAGTTTTATGCAGCGTTTTCAGCGCTCAAAGTTACACGCGGCTGAAAACGCGGTCGAGGTAGAATAGTAGGTAGTTAGAATAGTTAACTAAGAGCGAGAATATCTTTTAAGGTTTTTAATCGATTTTATAAACAAAAATGAAAGGTATTTGCACTTGGTTTTCGATTAATTCCAATATTAGTAGGTATTAATCAGCATTAATAGCCAAGTCGATGTAGTCTCTCTGTCTCACTCTCTCTCTCTCTCACTCGTACTAATTTTTTTACATTCTGGAATAGTTGAAAATGGCATTATACATTTCTGTATGCGCCGATTTACTTGAGAAATTGGACTAGAAACTATTCTCTGAATTTGCGATGCGTGCGGGGAACCTGTGCAAATGGGAATTTCGATTCGTTTCCTAGAAAATAGTATTTTTAGAAAAACCTGGAACTTACCCCATTCGAAATGTATCTATAACAATTACACAGAATTTGCTCTAAAATGCTTTAATTTCAATTGTGGTAGAAATATGTATTTAAAATTTAAATTGTTTAAAGTTATATCGGAACGTAACGTGAATAGAAATGTTTTTGTTGATGCTGCCCCGCGGACTCTACTTCTCCCCCTTGTTTTGGTATTTACTTTGTGCAAATTTCCATATTGTTCAGTCTCGCATAAATAATGGTATTAAATGAAAACAGTAGTGTGTGGCTTGCGGGGTGTTGTGCGGAGTGTGGGAAGGGGATGAACCAAAGAGGAAATGCAAAAACAACGAAATACAAACAGCAACAAACAAAAATAAAAACAGAACCTACCAAAAGCAAAAAAAAAGCTGGCTTTATGTGCCTATGATCCGATACCCTATAGCTGTAGCTGCAAATTACATATTGCTCTGATCTTTTGCAAAGATTTAGTCAGATTTATTGATAATTTATGAATAATTTTGCATAGAAAATTAATGGGTGGACCTGGGGCTTACCTGCATAGCAAAATCATTATGCCCTTGCGAAGGGTATCAAACGGAAGATAAATAAATTTGCAAGAGCACTTTTTCGCGTCACACGTAACCAAAATAAATAGAAACAAAAAAAGTTGCCACAGCATCCCATCGAATTGATGATAATGATGATAAAGAGGATGATGCTGTTTAAGCTGTCGCTGGCGCCATGGCGATTGACCCGAGAATGAGGCCCTCTCCACTGTGCAGACGATTAATCAGTGAGGTCGTCGTCATCACCATCCACATCCACATGCCATCATTCAGGCGTTCCCGCCTTGGCCCCTGCCCTACACAAACAGGAGGAATTATCAACATCCCAACAGGCCAATGGAAGAGCCTCTGACAGAGGGTCATAAAGAGAGCGAGTGTCGAGTGGAGTCAGGGGGAGCAGAGCAGCGAGGGGCGACAGTCACAGATAGGCGGCGAATGTGGTGGGAATTTTGACCGCAGGGTCGCTTGTGTTTCTGATTAAATTTTAATAGCTTTCCGCGATTATTTCTCTTCATTCTTTGAATTCGCATTTTCGTTGCTTTATGTACAATATACCCTTGCTGAGGGTATTAATCGTACCATGTATCAAGGTTGTTGCAAAGCTGAATATAAGTGTGTGTATTTGTGTGATTACTCGTAACATCAACAGTCAGTCACCTACTCGCAGCCAAAGTAGCCCCTTATTTTTGATTCGTTTTTCTGGATTGCTCTGCAAGGGTATCAAAAGCTTCGCCTATTAAAACTATCCCATTTTGTTGTTGTTGTTGTTTCTTGTTTTTAGCTGTAGAAATTTTTTGATTCGATTTGATTTTATTTCTGTATGCGAAATGTATTTATAATTTTGAGACATCGCCCTGGTTTTGCTCTCATTGATAATGGTAGTGGAGCGTGTCTCGGCGGTGTACGGAGGAAATTCTAGATTCTAGATGATTCACATTTTGGGTTTATTTGAAAGAAATCTTAAGAAATACAAATGTGTAGGAAAAAAAAGTTGAAATACTTTTGGGTAAAATATAATTATGTGTGGGATCTGGGGAATATTAAAAGAAGATAAACTCAAATAAATACGACAATTTTGTGATAATGGTACTGTACAATTGGTTTAAAAATTTTATTGAATTTTCCCATTTTCATATTCGTTTTGTACTACATTCCATTTAAAAGTTGGAACTCTTTTAGCAAACCTTTTTACTATATACACTTTACACACTCACTCTCTCTCTGCCACCTATGGCACTATTTTACACGCAATGGGGACATTGTTGGGCATTGTTTTTTCCCCAACGCCTCTACCCAATATTACCATTTTTCAGCCAACGCCATTTGAATTTTAAATTCAAAACGCAAATATTTACAACATGCTATAAAAATGCAAAATTCAGTGGCGCAGTAACGATGGGGCGGTGGGGCGAGGGGCGGCAGGACTATGAGAACCACACTGTGTTGTAAAATGTGAAACAAAAAATAAAATGCCATTAATTGGACAAAAAGGCAAAAAAAAACTTAAATTAAGCAAAAACAACAGAAGTACGCAATGCAAAAAACAAACTGAATGCACACGAAATAATAAATACATAAATAAAGGCAAATAAAACCAGGACCGAAACATTTGATACACTTTGTAGATCAGCGAATTTTGTTCACATAGAAAATAGCCTTTTGTTGCCTTGCCTCCGAGCGCAGTACAGTCCCATTTGTCTTATCAATTGATCTTCATTTAATTTACACAATAAATGCTCTAGCAAATACCATATATTCTTCCTCCAATCGCTTCAGCAAATTAGGAAAAATATAATTTAGTCTTCCTGTTTTCAATGCAAACATTTAGTAAAAATCATTATACCCTCTGCCAGGGTACTTGAAAATTGCAAAAGCTGCATTGCAGGGGAGATTGAGAGAGATTGGATCCCTATTCAGGGAAATGCAAAATGAATATACAGATGTACATATAATCACACAGTGCACTGTGGGGTGAAATATAAAGGACTGTGAATGAAACGAATTAATTAAATTTAACCCAATAAGCCATGGAAATTACGTTTCTGGCTGCCAGCCAGAAATTAACCATAGCAACGCGCACCCACCGCCCCCACCCACTCTGCCACCCAGTCATCTCCCCTCCGCACTACACCACGGCACAATGACGTGCACAAATTTCCGCTGGAAAATGAAATGTGCGAAAATGCAATTTAATTATTTATGCACAATTTTTGCTTAAATGAAACGAAATCAAATCACACCAAAATAAAAATTAAATAAAAACATTTTTTAAATCGATCTGGTTTTTTTGGCTCTATGCCAGAGAAACGAAAATAAATGGATAGCCGTAAACTAAAACTAGAAATGTTATAAACAATTCGGGGTGAACGAAACGTCTGTTGGGATACCCCCTATACCCTATAGAAACGAACAACATACGATTTTCAAGATCGGATCGGGATCTATGGATTTCAGTTTTCCTGTCGATTCAGTTGGGATAGTACGGGCCTTTTTTTGGGTTAACTTCTTTAAAAATCTCACGTAAACCTTGACCTAAATATTCCACAATACATACATATGTACATAATTTAATGCACTCCAGATGGAAAAATTATGTTATTTTATTTTAAAGTTGTCAAAGTTGTGTGTATAGGGTATTTATTTCTTCGTCATTATTAACGTTCTGGCTATAAAAATTCAAAATAGCTCCGATTTTTGCTTAGCATCTCATTATAATATTTCATAACAGACACTTGCCTGAATACCAAATGAAATATCTCAAATTTGTGTGCTTAAATTCCGACAAAAATAAAAAATTAATTGTTTTTGAAGCATTTGAAAAATGTGTGGCATGGTTTATTCTTATGAATGGCTGAGGAAAAAGTAGAACAAAGAAAATAAAGGAAAGGAATAAGTAGGATTGACAACAATGACCTGCTGCGTGGTTCCCTTGGTTAACCAAGGAATTTCCTGGCATAAAGCCAAACAAAAACAAAGAAAAACACGACCCAGAGACACTGCCACTAAAAAAAAGAAGAATAAAAGCCGTTTGTGGGCTGGTTTGGGCAAATCAATTCCAACCGAGAAACTGTTGCCAATAAAAAAATAAAGCATACAAAATAAAGTTGGGGGAAAAATGCAGGATAATAAATTATGGAAACAATTGTTGTAGTGGCGGAAGGAGAATGCCGGAACTATAATTGAAATAGTGATTGTGGTTTATAGGTTTATTTTCTTAACATAATGAATAGATTTATGTGATCAAAGAGCTCTAGTTTTTTCCTGTATTTCCTAGCTGCTATGGATCATTCGATCAGTAGAGACTCTCCCTGGTATAGAAACTGTCCCACACGACAAACTGTTTGCTCTCGGGCAGCGGTATAAACTCCAGTCCGTCGGCAATGTTGAGGCACAGTTCGGGTCCACCCGGACGCAGGGGATCCCATTTGACCGGAGCAATGGTCTCACAGTTGGGATCCCCCGTGGTGGCGAACGATGTCCACATGGCAATCAAACGCTCGATGGTCCGGTACTCGGGCGTGGACTTGTCCAGCTTATTGGAGAGTATCCCATAGAACATGTAGGAGATGTCATCCGCATGGCAGACGCCGCGCACCTTGCGGCCGCACTTGAGTATGCGATAGTGGTTGTAGTGCGGCGAGTCCATGTCGAAGCGGTACAGATAGGTGGCCGTGGCCGGGGCATACGCCGAGCGGGCGAGCAGAGTGCGATGGATGTCGTGCCAGAAGTTCTTGATGCTCAGTATGTGCAGGCACTCGAAAAGCTCCATGCTGCCACGATCGGAATCGCCAAAGTAGGCGACCTTCAGCCGGCTGACCATCTCGTTCAGTTCGTCCTGGTCGATCACATCGCGCACCTGGCGGGGTATGATGGCCTCGAAGGCACTCAGCATGTGCAGGGGATCCTGCAGTGTGGTCTGGTACGAGAAGAGC